TGAAAGCCTGAGAGAGTGTCTTCTCCCCATGTGACTCTCCTTAGGCACACTCTACATCATCGATCACTTTCCTCTTTGGCCCCATAATCTTCTAGTATAGCTAAGAACTATCTAAGAAATTTGGTTCCTTGTAAGCCCCAACTCTAGAGATTCTAATGTGCTTGATCCGACCTGGTTTCCAGGAAGCTTAAACATCACCTATGGGATCCAGAAGCAGATTCTACACCGTATTGAGATAGCCAAGGGGGGAAATGCTACCTTTTGATAAGTTTGGAAAGATTGGAATACTAGTGATTTTCAGGTCATCTTTAACAGTGGTGATGTCTGTGTGATAACTGTCTACCTTTATTTTAAACAATAAAATTATTTTAAAATATAAAAAGGGATCAATGACTTTATTCCTTTTTGAAAAAGAATTTTATTTGTAGGACTGAGGATAATCACAGCAATTTTCAGTCAATCAGCTATTCAGAAAGATAAGAATGAAAATTGAATGACTCAACTATCTTGACAATAAATTCTTAGAAATTTTCAAATTTTTAAATTTCACTCATTGAAGAAATATTAGGCCTAATATTGCAGCTGCAATCAACTAATTATTAATATTTAAAAAAACTTATGTTGACTATTGTCCAAGTTTTGTACTAAATATTATTTAAGCAATCTCGTTAAATTCTCAGAAAACATAAAAAAGTTAAAGGCTACACTGTTTCTTTAGAGATGTAGGAACTGAGATAATTTGGGTAATAACTTGGCCAAAGTGCAGTTGAAGTAATGCATTTTTCACTAAGACATATACTTTGTTTTTATGAGCTCTATATTTTAATTGATCATTGGTACATTAAATAGTTACCTAAAATGAATATCTTTTGTAAAATCAGTATAGATTATATTACCTTTTATGTACATAGAAGAGTTGGTAAGAACTTGTTACATATGTTTGAACTCTGAATCTATTCTTTTCCTGTCATATTTTTATTGTAGCTCTCAATGATTCTTGGTACGTACAAGAAATTTTCTATTGCTATTTTAAATCTATATAATTTCTTTGAGCTAATGAAACAGTAAGGTAGATGAATGCATATTTCAAACATCATACCTGCAAATCCTATCAATACTATAGGTTATGATAATTTCAATAATTTGTTAATTAAAATGATTAAACAGATTAATTTATTTTAAAATATGTTTGCAGAAAAGAGCAAACACTGAACCAAATGAGTTATACATGCATCCTGCAAGAAATAAAGTTTAAGAATTATCAATTACCTTTACTAAGATTATCTTATCATTAAAAATAGATTATGTTATCTCTGTAAATAAACCTAGAAGTTTACATTGTGGAAGGAGTAAAAACAGATACAAGGCAGTTATTCATTGCCTACACTAGCATGATTTTATCACATTTAAATTCAAAGCATCAAAATATAATTCCAGGATAAATCAATCAATTTAATTAAAATCTAGTAACATACTTGTGATTATAACTAAGCCTACAACAAGAATAGTAGTTAAAAACTGAATTTACTATGAGATCCTTGGATTATTACAGCTTTAAAAATGTAAGAACCATTATACTACTGGTCATTTTCTAAACAGTCACTGAATTTCAACATTGAAAATATTCTTAAAATTTATCAAGTTCATCTTGTATACCACAAATGAACTTCACTTATTTTCATGGCTGTTGCTTTGTTTTTTGCAACAATTTTAGTATGGTTAAGAAAGCTGTCCTTATAGTTTATTAAGAATTTTCAAATTTGTCTAGTTTTCTCCTAACACAAGAATGCTCCTTTAAAGTTAAATATTTTAATATCTCCAGAAGTAGCATATAGGAAATAACAAAGAGCATAATTCAAAAGGCAAGAGAAGTTGCAGTATGCTCCTGGATGAACAATAAAGAGCTCTCAATATGCTAGATATGCAGGACTATATAAAATATATTAGATGAACCCTTATTTAAAGGTTATTCCAGATTTCTATGAAACAGTACCAATCTTATGTTGGGTTACACACGTATTTTTTCCCCATACATGTGTGTGTATGTGTGTTTAAAAGACAGGGAAGAAGTAATATAAAGTCAACAGGAAATGGAAATATACTTTTTAAAGGTTCTAATACTAGGAGAAGATATCATACAATGTCTTTTAAATAAATTATAAGTCAAAGATACAGTATAAATCTTAGAACAAAAATTAAGATTAAGCAATATTCAGAAAATTAAATGTTTCAAAACAAATGAACGAAGAAAAAGTTTTCATGATAGCAAAGAAGGACTAAGAGTAAAACATGAGTTAAATACTGGAATGGCAAGTAAATGACCAGCACTTCTAACAGTTTGAGGACAGGATATCACACAAATTTCTAGTCTGTTGTGGACTCTGCATAATGACCGTGCCAGTTACTGCTGGCTAGGCGTCACTTGTGGAACTGAGCTACAGCTATTTCTTTGAAATCCACCCTGTAGATTCAGGTGGAATCACGACCCATAGGGTGGAAGACAAGTCCATCTGTATAGTGTACTGATGAAAATATTATGCTGCTGAACACAAAAGTAACTGAAAGACTACTATTGTATACCTCATATTCTCTTCTGTTTAATTGTTATTTCATTTTTAATATGGGAAACTTTTTCTGAAAACTTAAGAAGATTCAGGAAAAGTCATTAGAAAGACTATATCAAAGTTCATAAGGAGGTGATGTCCAAATTTTGATGTGATGTGTGTCTCTCTCCCTTCCATAGTATTCTGTGGTTAGAGGATTATGTTGTGAGCCAGTTAGTCTGCTGATAAAATATTTTCTCTTCTGAGAAAATTATATGCCACTGGAGGGACTAATTATCCCTTACACTGGGAAGATTTTAAACCTACACAGTTGGAAAGAAGTTCAACAATTATCCTTATTTGCTATCACTCTCACCAAGATTTTCACTCACAAGGATATTCAGGTTAAGTATCTGAGAAATGTCTCTTAGATAAATAAGAGTAACATAAATAAAGAATAAATAAAACAGATAAAGTAATGAAGGACCATTTTTATTCAGTCCAATTCTTCTCAAAGATAATCTGGTAAATTTGTGATAATTCTGTCACATTTTGTATTATGCTGCCTTACTTAAATGAAAAATTACATTGTTGTAGTCTCCCACTATTAATGAAGAGAGCAGATTTCAACTCCTTTTTTAAAGCAAATATGTTAC